ACTGATTACGTGCTTGTAGGATCTTGGTATCGACGCAAGCGCTGCACATTGAGCATATTGCGGACGAATCATGGGAGAGCACCCGGGTACCAGACCCAGCACCGTTCTGGCGCACTTTTGAGCGGCGGAAGTGGCACGCTGCTGCAGCTGCAGACCCACTCGCCTCACACATGGTAAAAATCGTCCTCGGAGGTGAGTGTAAGTTTGTCTTTAACCACTAATTCTATTCAGTAACTCGTATACAGTCCCATCCATAAGTCATACAGGTAAAAACTCTTTTATCGTTACATATAACAAGTCAATAACTTAAATAATCAATCAAAATCTATTTGCAAAAGCATAACATTTAGCATTTAAGGGCACATTCCACGAGAAGCCGACGGGCGCGGAAATTGGAGCATAGTCATCACTTATGTGCCTTCCTTAGTAGTACACCCCTCTCTCATTCTGATGCTGCACAGGGGGGGGGGGGCGTCAACGAAGGAGGTACGATGGCTGTGAGACCGCCCACTTCTCCGCCATTTGACGATCGTGGAATGTGTCTTTAAACATGCGGTGCGATAAAACAAAACATCTTAACAGTAAACAACAAAGTGTCAACAAGATTTAACACCGCTTTTGGCCGACGATAAGGAAAGGCAGAAAATGACAGAAAGAATAACTAATTCGACCTCTAAAATGCTATCCATAAGAGAGATTCGCTAAATGTCTGCGGGATACCGAACCCTAACGGCTAATATGCTTAGTGATCTGAACTGAATTTATCTGGAAGCTTCAGAAGCCTTAGGTCGCTCTTGCCCTTGGTTAGCTGCAGTGCAGGAGAAATTCTGTAGACCCAACTCGGTTTTGTGCGTTGAACCTTTCTATCATCCATGAAAGTTGATGGTGCAGCGCCAGGCTGGGGTGTGGGCAGAGACAGTCAACCAATACGCCTCTCCCACTGATGCGCTCTTCTTCCAGTATGGTGCAAGGGCAGGAATGGGCAACAGCGACGAAGATGACTACCGGTTAGTTGTCATCCACCCACATCAGCTCAGCTGGCGGACTGCCGCCTTTAGTCTACCATAATAACTGTTTAGACACCAGCTAAGAGCGCCAACTTCTTCTCGGGTCACACAGCACATCTTCAGCCGACCATACGTCATACATTCCAAGTTTTCCTTAGACAGAATGCGCGTCCACGCCAGTTACACCTGTGTCAACAGGAAAATTTTAATGTTTCTATGACCAAAGCCGGCGGTTCGACTTAGAGGGGGCATTTTGCACTTCCGCTAGTTCTCCTGTCGTAGTTCGTGTTAAGTAGCGGCGAAGACCCTGTTGAAATTTCCGTGAAGCGCTGAGAATTGCGTAATTAACATGAGTGGGCGCTGCACAGAAATCCTGTTAGCAGCGGCCCACTCGGCCTGTAAAAGCTTAGTGAGTACCATTCAGTGCCCCCACCAAACCAAACTGCGCTCCAACGTCTACGCATGTGTTACAGAAGAGCATTTTTAGACTCATTCAAAAGACAAGCTCCAACTGTTCGATAAACTTTAGAGTCGAGGGTTCTCAGCGGCACTCGATCACACGAACCGAATCAGCGAATCTCGCTTTCGACAGGTTCGAGTCCACACTATCTCACCATGGACGGCAGCCGGCACCCAATGTACTCGATCCTTATTGTGCACCTCTCCTCCCTGCCTTGATGAACAAACAAGGCACTAACGAGTAAGGCCAGCGGCAGGCCCTCCTCCGCCCACACGACGAGCGTGGAATGCGTCTTTATGAAGCAACCCTTTCTAGAAACTAAACGGTGGCGAATCCTCATACTACAAAATTCTAGCTTTTGCGCTGGGACGGTAATTGAGAAAGCCAAGTGAGCTTCCTCAAGTACCGTGCGGAATGCGCTCTTCACTTCAGCTATCTTCGATGGATGTACAGCTATGGCTCTCGCATAGTTCTGAAGAAGAGAAAGTAAGAGCAGATCAGCACTTGTAACAACAAGACCCTGACAAACCTGAAACAAATTCTCTACCCGTGGTCCACCCAAGCGAAGCATATCCTCCGGTGTGGTATTCCATACCCGTTCACATAGCACTCTGGAACATCATTTTAGAAGCTATTCAACTAACTAAAGTAACTAAAGTTGGAATGCTTTTACTTTCTGTAGTTCGAAGGAGTTCCTCTTATGGCGCCGATGATTGACAGCTTTCCAGCTCCACTCACCTAAAAATACTCATATTCAGCGCCAAGCCTAAGCCAAATGATCGATCGATCGGTAATATTGATTGGTTCGCTGAAGTTGCGAATGCACATTAGGACCCGGGCCATTTCTCATTAACAGGCGAGGCATTTGGCAAGATCGGTGCATCCATTACCCTTATGAATGATTCCGGGGCGGCAAGCAAATCAGAGGCACAGTCTGCGATAACCTGATGGGCGGGGCTCAACAGGACCACTGCAGCAAACTCTCCTCACTGGAGCATCTCGCCCTTTTGAACAGCAAAAAAAGTGATGCACCAATGAAGAGAGCGCCATGATCATGGGCTCCGCCCACATAATTATCATGGAATGTGCCTTAAAAGAGATGTAGCCATTACTTCTTCCTCCCCTGTTCTGCTCAACTAGAAAAATTGTAAGGAACCTACCGTATCTTCACGCTCTACCAGTTCGCATATAAGTGAGCGTTTAGCTGCTTCAAATTCAGATTCCACCACCTTTCCGTTTTTGATGACATCAAACTGAAATTGACACTAAAAATCTCAGTCTTGAAGGAGCAGCGACGAAAGAAGCGAGATAGGACGCGGACTCTGCTCGGCTGTGCTCTTCTGAGGCTGAGCCCGGAAAGAGAAAAGAATCATTATTTCGGTAAGGGGTGCAGAGTGGCAGAATTAATTGCGCCGAAGATCCCCCTTCTCCGCAAACAACTTCGCTAGCGCCAAGTATTGGAATAATGAGATGCTATTCGAAGTGCCCACCGAAAAAGGCTGGAAACTTCGAAAACTACAAAAGCCTAGATCTCTCCCTCCAAGTGAAGGATATTTCAAATACTTTCAATGAGCTTCCATTCTGAG